AGAGCGCATGGCCAACCTAATTCGCATTGCTCTCCTTCTTCGTATAAGATGGGGAACGTTTTTGCACTGAAAAATTCCTTTTTTAAATTTACGGGAAACAACGAAGCAAAAAAAGAATATTATGAAGAATATTATGAAGAGAATCTGCAGAAAAATATGATAAATAAAAATATAAGGAATTATTTGCCTCGGCCAGAATTTGCAAACGGTATATTGAAAATTTTTTTTCATTCCACTTCCATAATATGCACAATTATTATATGTTGCACAGCCGACATCTGTGGTTGATCCCGAAGCAAACTAAAAGTATCATAAAGCTGATTAGGGCAAATAGGGAGAATTTACGTAAGTCAGCCACAACTTATCGAAAATAAGCAATTAATTCAAAAATTCGAACCTGCAAATAACTGTCTCTATTCTGACCTGTTAGAGTAACATTCCGCTCTTTTTTTGTTATTTTTACCCATTCTTTTAGACCGTATTTTACCGGATTTTCTCAAATTATAAATAAATGCAAAGTGAATAATTTCAAATTAAAGTCAAATTAATTTATCATTTATATTTTTTGCATTTGCATTTTGCATTTTTATCACTACTTTTTTCATTGGGAAATTCCTATGCATATTTCATTCTTTTCATCACTTCTCAATTTTTTTGAAAATTTTGTTCAGATTTACTTGAAGAATTGTTTAAGACCAGATAGACTTCACCAATATCCGATGGATCCATACGTGGTAAAGTATATTCGCACTGTGTTGCTACCTGTTGAGCCAAAGCTTGTAAAGTGCAGTTCCATCTCTAAAAATTCGCGGAAAATATACATTTAGAGAAAATAATCGAGTATTTAACGCAAAATGTCAATCACTAACAAGCAAAAAAAATTTTCGCAAAACTTTTATTGACGATCAAGAGGTGTCCTCCTATCCCCTTTTGTTTTTTGCATTTGCATTTTGCATTTTTATCACTACTTTTTTCATTGGGAAATTCCTATGCACATTTCATTCTTTTCATCATTTCCCAATTTTTTTGAAAATTTTGTTCAGATTTACTTGAAGAATTGTTTAAGACCAGATAGACTTCACCAATATCCGATGGATCCATACGTGGTAAAGTATATTCGCACTCTGTTGCTACCTGTTGAGCCAAAGCTTGTAAAGTGCAGTTCCATCTCTAAAAATTCGCGGAAAATATACATTTAGAGAAAATATTCGAGTATTTAACGCAAAATGTCAATCACTAACAAGCAAAAAAAATTTTCGCAAAACTTTTATTGACGATCAAGAGGTGTCCTCCTATCCCCTTTTGTATCCAATTAGGTTGATTATTATTTCCAAAATTATTTGGCTTATTTTAAATTACTTTAAATTAAATTGTTCAAAATTGTTACAAGCTGTCAACATTTTTGCTTAACTGCTACTTATTTGTATATTTAATGATTTAATGAAATCAATCAAACAATTTTAAAATTAACCAATTTGTAAATTTCTTTTCCCATTGGAAAATTTCCATTTTTGGCCGAAATATTTCCGGCAGCAAGTTGAATTCGGAATTTATTCATAGCATCAAGAGCACTTTTTTTACATGGAAACTTTCCTTTATCGCACTTTCTTTTATCGACTGTAAGTGAAACGAATTATATTTCAAAAAACTATTCTAAATATTAGTGCTTTAAAAATAAAAATCACAGTGAAATATAGAAAAAATATTTCGATTGAAAAAAATTTTCTAAAAATAAATTCCTCTGCTGGAACTCAAATCAGCGGTTGGGAATTAAGTGAAAACCATGAAATTCTATTTCATTCAAACCTTTTTCTGTTTCGCAGAGTCCATCCTTGTTGCAAATTGAATTGGGACGACAACATGGCCACCCTGCTTCACATTGTTTTCCTTTTTTGTATAATTTCTTGAACATAAATCCACTAAAACTCGTAAAATTTATGCAAAATATATATGTATCTAAGATCAACAATAAGTGATTAAATAAAAATTATGAAAAATATTCTTAAAGAAAAATCATTACCTTGGCCAAAATTTGCAAACGGTATACTGAACAGTAGGGCGTTCATCCATTTTATAGTTTTCATAGTTATCATAGTATGTTCCATAGTCTTCCATCGAACTATAGTCAACTTGACATATATCATTTGTTGCACAACCCACTTGCACAGTTAGCCCCGAGGCTATCTAAAATATCTCAGGAAACTTAACGAGTGCAGTTATTACGCCAAAAATCTATCTAAAGAGAATAACTTATTAAAACATTGCCT